CATTAGCTCTTATTCATATGAAAAATATAAAAGATAAAAAATGAATAATACCTTGAAATAACACTTTTCAGTAACAGACTTCTAGTCTCTTTAAACTAAAACTTACAATTGTATTACACATAAATTTGAAGTGGGATTCGTGTAAAATGCATACATTACAAATAGTAATTACAAAAGGCACATAAAACATTTTTTATGTAAAATTTATTTTTTCTAAATTAAAATAGTAATTTGAGTTCTTACTTTTACTATAGTTTAAAATTATAATTGCAACTGTTGCAATTGTCATTAATTTACATTACAAAATCACTTCTTTAAAATCATATTTTCTGAAATAATTATTATTTCATATTGAAAATTTTAAAACATAAAAATTAATTAACAATGTAACTAAATTTGTAAATTCAAATTTTACACGATTAATTATAACAATTTTATGTTATGTAAGAAATTGGTTCGTGTTTTAAAACAGTTCAAGGATATCAAAATCATGTATATAACAAACGTAACAAAAAGTAATAATGTATGATGTGAGGAAATATTTAGAATGCATACTTTGAATTTTCTATATTAATAACGCGTGCTCGTACATTTAATATTTCCAGACGATTTCAAATTTTAAGTTGTTTTTAATTTTGCGTATGAAAATTTTGTCAGTAGTTTTTGTTAGTCAAAATACATTAAAAGATTTAAATTAAAGTAGTAGCCTTTAGTAAAATGTATTAAGAATATAATACTAAGAAATCTTACATTGATCTTAAACGAGAGAATTAGAAAGGGAGTATGGATAACCATATATAAAGGTAATCAAATACTGATTGATGTGCTCAATTTAAATGATTGTGAAATAGTATCTACGTGATTTAGTATGTATGTGTATACATACATATACATATATATGTACATACTTATACACACATATACATATCATCGCATGTGCGTGTATATATGTATATATTCATGTATCCAATTGTTCACTTTTAAGGTTTACGATTTAGGAAAAGTATCTAAATAAATATCAATGTTACTCTTTCTCTTATTACTTAAAAAATACAGTTATGGCATCGCAGTATGACTGAATATCTATAAAAATTAGAGTCCCTTTTGGCATTCTTAGTTTAATTGCGATCGTTGTAGGGCTTCCCGTTATGAAAGGGAGCTTATTCTTTCCAGTCTTTCTTAATTTCAAATGACCACTCCCACTTTAGATGTTCATGTTTATCATCATCCGTAAACAAGGAGCTTACACTATAAGAACCACGTGCCATTACTCCAGCTGGTGCATCCTCTGTTGGAGTGGTATATGATTGCACTTCTGTTTTGGGTGGATAAGAACCCACCATATGCATCATCTTATCCACTGAAAAAAAATGTGACAATAGAATCATTAACAAACATTTCAACTACCATATATGTAATTTTTAATATTATATATCAAAAGTACCTGTGACACCTAAGAAGAAAGCATTAACAAAAACCAAATGTTAACTTTTAATATGAAATAAGCATAATTCAAAGGTTTGAGTTAGTGATGAGAAAGTCAATTCCATTTTAATGATTATCTTACCTGGTACTCCAAGACGATAAGTTTTTTGAACATATTTTAGACCATGTACAATTTCACGCTGTACAATGAAATCAATCCTGATTCTATAGCTAACACCTTCTTTTATTACAAATGTTTGTTTTTTTAACTGAGAAAGATCACCTGTTAAATCTAATTCCATGTCTGGTCTATCTGCTACACAAAGTGCTAATTTTTTTACTATTACTTTTCTTGGATCATTTGGATCTATAAAAAATTTAAAACATTATCCTTTTTATTTTGCTTTCTTTTTAATTGATGTATTTTAAACATTTAATGAAATGCGCACCTACAACGACACCTCCAGATTTTGCTTCTCCTAAAAGTGTTTCCTTATATTTGCGTAAACTTTCATCTTCTTTGTCTGCTTCTAGAATTTGCTCTATTGTTTTTTCTGGTGGAGGTTTGTAGTTGGATTCAACTTCTAATTCCTCTTCTACAGAATCAACGTGATCCGTGTTAAGCTCTGACATTTTTACTATGATAAAAATACGTTATATTAATAATATTTAAACTATTATCTAATAAATTTTGTGTATGGTTACTGATATACAACAAGTAATATTTTATACTGAAGAAAATGAAAACAAAAAATAAATTACTATAAAAGGAAAACAAAAAATTTAATCATTGATTTCAGGAA